ATAGGAGTTGAAGGAGACTGGATTTTGTTGGCCCAGGACAGGGTCCGGTGGAGGGCTTTGGTTAATTCGGTGATGAACCTTCGGGTTCCGTAAGGCATCTGGTTGGTTGGGTCCACTATTTGGGAAGCCTTAGGGGAAGAGACCTCTGGAGAGACCTAGCCGTAGATGGGAGGATAATCTCAGGCGGGATCTATGGGAGATAGGAGTTGAAGGAGACTGGATTTTGTTGGCCCAGGACAGGGTCCGGTGGAGGGCTTTGGTTAATTCGGTGATGAACCTTCTGGGTCCATCTCTCAGATATCCATCCAACCAAAGTTCCGCTCGCAAAGGACATATCGCCTGATGGGATCATCCTCCCATCAGTAGTAATATCATAGTCTGAACAAGTAAAGACGATCTCGTTAGCGCATCCAATTTTATATTTTGTAAGGCGTCGCTTACGAATTCGGGCCATGAAGGGGTTTACCTCGCGCACAGCTCCATCTGCAGATTTTTGGTTGGTGAGTTGGGACGTGGTCAGTCTTGAGTTGATTGTCTATCGTGGATTTTGTGTTACCGACTGAGCGGCTGTATCACTTTGCAATCACTGATTACGATATAAACACTGGTAGCACGTAAGGCCCGTTTCACACTGGCGACCAGTCGCTGAACGACCACCAGGTAGAAAAGCTAAGTACGAGCTTACACACGAGGGCGACCGCGACCAATGGCCGCCGTCGACCAACAAGCAGTCAGCGACGCACGGGAGACCAACGACCACGAGGTACCCAGATGGCAATCACGTGTTCACGTTGCGGGCGACTCAGTCAGCGACCAGAGCTCAGAGAGGTGACATATCCATTGTTTCTTGCTTTCCCCCGTCAGTTCAAGTGATCAGTATATCATGAGTTTTGATGCTGAAAGATTTATTTCGGATGTAGAGTCACGAAGAGCCATTTGGGACCTTACAAGTCCCGATTATGCAAACAGGGAGTTGAAAAAAAGTCAGTGAGAAGAGGTTGTGGAATTGTTTGACGAATTTTTATCATTATAGTGATCTCCTCGACGTCCATATTGCTTGACTGCTGATGCCTCTGTCTGCGCTTGTCGCTGATGGTTTTGGTCGTTCAGCGACTGGGTCGCCGGCCCTAAAGAATGCATTTTTTTTAGGCTGACTTTGTTGATGTAGGCTCGTCTGTTCCCCCTGTTCTGAACATTTTGTAGTGTTCTCAGCTGTGTCGCATGTACTGACAGCATCTGAACACTGAGTAATTGAGCTAGGATTGACTATGAGTGATATATCGAAGAAACAAATGACTAACTTCTCAGCAAATCGAAGTATTTTATTTTAACGCCATATTTTTGTAGCCAATTCATGAGATGCAATTACAGTATAAAATAATTCTTGTTGGTACAATGTGATTTTATTTAAATTATTTATTTTAATCCGTCTTATCACAATATTTTAAAATTTCTTATAATTAAGATAATAAAATATCATTGATGTTCCATATCGATTGATCGAATGTTCCGAAATGTAAATCGATCAATCGATATGGAACATCAATGATATTTTATTATCTTAATTATAAGAAATTTTAAAATATTGTGATAAGACGGATTAAAATAAATAATTGTTAAAATAATGTCTGTGAAATAGGAAAAATGCTATGTATAAGAATTTCAAGTTGAGACAGTCCCATCTCTGAACATAACGTGCGATATCATTTCGTGAAGAAGACAGGTCTTGGAACTGCGGTTTACATTGTCAGCTCGGCCACACATACGAACCAAATTTGGCATGACATTAGTAGCCAGGTTTACAACACAATTTCAGCTGACGGTACAGTCGTTGAACAAAGAAAACGGAGAAGATAAATGCATTATGTGATCAGTTTTATAATCACCCCAGTCTCAAAATTTGAAATTAAACAAATGTACTGGTTTCGTGAAGCTAAGTCTTTTATCTATTAATTAATTCATTTTTGATATATTTTGCGACGTCAATGTATCTTTTAACTGGGACACTTAAAGAATACGACATCGTTAAGTTTGTAGAAGTAAGAGACTGTGGCCTAATTTGAGATATAATGCCGGTATTTTCTAGAGGGCCTGAGGAAAACCACGACAATACTCTTTCAGGATAGCCTTTTATTTACTGATTCGTGGTAAAGGGTAGCTGAAATCTGTGTTTGTATTGTTAGTGCTTAGCTGTTATTGGACTTTTTGGCTGTTATTAAGCACTCTAATAAATGAATTGATTTGAATATGACGAAGATTTCCTTTGGTAAAAAGATCGCGCTTATACGCTCTCAGTATTATTTCAACAGTGCAACGGGAAATATGTTTGACCTGGTATATTTTACGAAAAGTCTCCCATGATTATCGGGTTATTTTTGAAACTAAACCTTGAACGCAGTGTAAACACATGCTCCTGGCTGTAGGCCAGGCGTCCGTTATTATCATGACTAGTCTTTTGGCGACTGCTGGTAAGGTCGTTTGATTTTTAGGATCTGTTACCAATAGTAAGTTTTCGTAGAATTTTTGATCACAGATGTATAATTGAGTGTACACTTACATTTACTCTGACGAACTTCACATTAACGTATTGATAAGGAGCATATAGACGTATGTGAACTCAAGTTTACATTTCATATACATACAAACATTTCAGATGAAAAGTTAGTCTAACATGATAACAGAGGGCAAGTGGATGGTGTATAGATTAGGCATACAAGTGACGTTTGATGGGCATATGAACTATCGACTCGAATTAGATCGAAAACAAGGGAAATAACATTTATAGGGGCACAGAGGTAAATCTCAAAGCATTCTTAACCTTAAAAATAGAAAGACGTGTGTGGTAACCTTTGTACCAGCTCTCAAACCCGGTGACGAATAGTGGTTTGACGTGGCCCCCCCCCCCCTATATTTCCCTTCTGAGCGGCCAATCGTAAACTGTCTGGCCAAACTTTACATATGTAAGATATGAGAGGCTAGAAAATGCATGTCCTACGCCTTACACTCAAACCCTTGCATTGTTTTAAAGTATTTCTTTGTTATTTTTGTAGCTGATACAGCGAACCGAAGTTTGAGTGATCGTTTTAGAGCTTATTAAATTATTGCTTTAGTCATGGGCCACAAAATTAACAGTAACCTCCTCTACAGCAGTGGTATTCAACCTGGGGTACGCGTAACCCCGGGGGGACGCGAAGACATCTTAGGGTGTACGTGAAATTTAAAAATGTATATATTATTTTATGATAAACACTGAATAATCAGTAATGTAATTGATTTAATTTATTTTAGATGTAGATTATATACTATGTATAACTCGAATTATACACCAACAA